CCACCACCACCACCACCACCACCACCAACACACACACACACACGCCAATTACAACACATGCAACAACGGTTACAGGAGTGCACTTTGATGGATTTTTAATGTGCAATAATGGACTTTTTAATGCACACAGTGACAACGAATGTATGGCACTGTAGAAATATGTTTTGTGTGCCTGAGTGGAAAGAACTGTTTTATTATTTCTATTTACGGTATAACTTATTTGTATCATAAAATTAATTGAGTCAGATTTTGAGAGCAACTACATTTACTTGTATATGTCTTTTTCTGCGAGTCTTTAATAAGTGTTTTATAATGCGGTCAAACAAGCATTCAGTAATCCAACTTAAAAAATAAAAAATTCAAACCACCAAACTTGGGTGAAATAATGAATACCATTAGATACAACACCACGGCTTAGCTGTCAGTTTACATTTTGTGGCATCACATGTAACGCCTGCAGGTGGATGAAACTATACTGAGCATGTGCAGTAGGCAGAAGCAAACCATGATGCTTGAAAACAGGAAAAACAGAAAAAAAAATCCCTCCATGAGCATCAGAAGCCCACTTGCCAACAGGCTGATTTTCTTATGAGGAATAAAGTGTAAATCCACATTTGTTTTCAGTTTATGTGCATAATAGAAATAAAAAGATGACACCGTAACCATTAGAAAAAATAAACAGCAGTGATTAAAGGCTTCCTGCACATTTTCCAAACCAAATTTGCCTCACGGGACCTTTAATTCTCCTCCTCTTGGGCAGAACTTCGTTGTCCCGCCGTCCTCTGCCAATGAAGTAAATAACGCCGTCACTTCTTGCACTTGCTGCCTTACAAGGCCACAACTTAGTATCTTAATGTTCAATCTATATGCAAAGAACGCAAGCTGAGCGAGGGGTGCAGAAAACGGACTGTTTTTCATGTCAGAGGCAGAGCCAGCTGCTGATGCAGACGATTACATAATGTGTTGTGTTTAAACAATGGTGGGTAATGGTCAGGGCTGTCAGGAGTTATAGATTAATTACGCTGTGATTAGGAAAGCTGTCAGGCTGGTATGGAAAATGATGCATGGCCCAGGCCGGCATGCACACTGATAAGAGCTCAGAGGAAGGCACACATGGGAAAAGGCGCATGTTACATGTGTATGATATACAGGTGCACACGGCAAACACACTTCCATTCTCTGTTTTGAAAGGGTTATGTGACCAAAGCCACAAAAATCAGTATTTTTTCCAAGCACGCATATATTAGACATATTGATTTCACTGTGCAAATCTGAGTTTGGTTCTGGAGACCTCAGCAGGGAAAACCACCTCAAAGCCAGAGTTCAGGAGCTTGGCAGAAGTGTTTTTGTCTGTCTGTCAAAATGTGCAAAATTCAAACATGAAACTTAGCAGGTGTGCAGCTCAGTTCAAAATACAGGATCTACTTCAGCTGGTGCGATCCCAATCACAACATGGTGTCTAGCTTCAGTTATTTATATTATATAAACAAAAACATTCAGCTAATACTAAACAGGAAACCAAAATCTATAACAATCTCTTGCTTTAAACCACAGACTGTATATAAAAGATGGACATAGCCAGCATGACATCACAGAAAGATATTTTAGACACATGTGGTCTGATTGACGTTGTGGTCCCTGAGAGGTCAAATGCACTGTGACTGAAAAAAACACCAGGAAATACAAAAACTCAGCAAATTCTAAAAATAAAAAATGGAAGTGTTTCTGGGGAAGAAAAATATTTGTCACTTCTTTGAACAGCTCAAAGAAGTGACAAAGTAAACAGTAAACAGTTAATAGCAAACGTGTGTCTACAGTATTATATGAGTTGCGTGATTAAAGTGTGTCTCACGTTTTTGTTTCTGTCACTGTTCCGTCACGTTATTATGTCCCCAGAAACACTTTCCTTCTGTTTCACGGTTGTTTTGTTTTTTGTTTGTTTGTTTTTTGTGTTTGTGTGCTTTTGAGGTATTTTTCTGTTAGCTGTTGTTTTCTAAGTTGCAATGTGTTTGAACTCTCAGGGCCACCGCAGTTTTCTGCCCCCAGACTGGTTCACTTGAAGCTAACTCAAGCCCGACACTAGTCTGACTCCTGAAGCACAATAAAATCCAAAATCCAAATCTGTAACAAAAAAAAGGCAGCGTGCCGTTAAAGGCAGGCAAGTAGGGGAACAAGTGGACACAAAGTTTGAGTCAAAAAAGAGATTTTAGGCAGAACAAGTGAAGCTGATGTGAAGTGGTTTTACCGTTTAAAGCTTGGACCATGAAACAAAAGCCAGAAAATTCCCCAAAATTTCAAAATTTTTGAGAATGGAAAGTTTATTGAACCATTTGACAAATTTCTTTCAAAACTGGTGAAGATGAAAATAGCCTAAAATGTATTGTGGGTTTTATTTGTTTTTCAGGGGGAAAAAAACAGAAGGATGATGGAAAAGTCTCATAACTTTCTCATAAAAGATGGGATGATATACTGAGCGCTACAGACTAAAGGTTTAAGTAAAATAAGTAAATTAACTTCTTATGTTTGAAACAAGTCGAAACAAAAAATGCTCCAAAAGGTGCAAACACAACGAAGAGGTCAGTGGAGCCACTGAACTCAAAGTGGCACTACTTTAACTTTAAGCTGTAATAGAAACTAAATGGGTGAGTTATAAAAGCAAATCTACTGTCTTCATTATCATTATGAAGGAGGAAATTCTTCATGGAGACAAGTGAGTTTTGTGTCAGGCTGCAAACATGTTTATTTCTGCTGCAGAGTTTATGCAAAGAGGCTATGAGCACAGACTCACATTTGAAGCCAGCCTCAAGTGACCACTAGAGAAACTGCAGTTTACCATTTGCATAGTCACAGTGGTCTTTTTTCAGTGCTTTGTGTGTCTTTAGGGATGTTTGAGTCTCTTTGTAGCTATTTTGATAGTTTATTGAAGAAAAAAAAACATGAGGGTAATTTTAGCTTTTGGTTCTGACCTGTCCAGGGTGCACCCTGCCTCTCACCCTATGGCAGCTGGGAAAGACTTCAGCCCACCCAGATGGAAGGATGGATGGATGGATTGACTGATATGTAATTTTGACTCTTTCTCTGGAGGTGATGTGGACAAATAAGCACTGTGTCAGAAAATTTTTTTCACCAAATTCACATTTTTCTGTCTCCTACCACATTTTTAGCC